AATAACAATCACTTAATACAATTTTTATTTTCATCTATCTTTTGAAATTAAACTAACTTGAATTTTTAATTTTTTTTTAGCGTTCCGTCCATTATGACCAGTCTGGAGGATAATATTTAAAGGTAAGTTTCTCTTTAAGAAAATATCAGCTATTGTCAAAAAAAAAAAACAATATTACACATTGCTAAACTAAGACACCCCTTGTCTATATTACATTATTGACCCTTTCTGGCATCGAATTGATCAACCTTTCACAAAAGTCAATTTTGATGTTCCTCCAAACAATTTGTAACTTTTCCCACAAATTGGTTTTATTTAAAAGTGGACCAGGAAGGTTCCGCAATCAAGCAAAGTGATGTCATTATCCCTGAATCATCACTTGGCTTTTCTGGAGGTATGTTTTGGATCATTGTCTTGCTGAAATATGATTTCACTATCTTCCAGCATTTTCTCATAAATTGTGTCTAAAAAATTGTTACGTATTTAATATGTCGATGTATATCTCAGCGTCCATTTTGCCATCAATTTTTCAGAATTCACCAACTCCGTTGGCAGTTAGACAACTCCAAACCATAATGGAACCACCACCAAATTTTACGGTTGGAGTAACATGGTGGTCTTTTAATTGTTCATCAAGCTTCTTCCAGCATCATTTGCATTCGTCTGACTTGAATAGCTGGAACTTGCTTTCGTCAGACCAAATTATTTTCTGCCAGTTGTCAGCCATCCAATTTTGGCATTTTTTGCCCATTCTGATCAGAGTTTTTTGTGTGTTTTTTTAAGTAATGGCTTTTTTCACTTAGTCCTTGCAAATAAATCATTTCTTCTAAACATATGTTGTACGTTTTTCACTGAAATTTTGACTCCCAGTTCAGCTTGGAGCTCGTGTTGAACTTGGATGGTGGTAGTGCATTTTCCAGATGATATTAATCAGATGGTATTCCATTCGTAATGATCTGAAAGAATGCGTGGACGACCTGGTTTTGGTTTATCTTCAAAGTTTCCAGTTTTTTCTTTGTTTTTACAGATGCGTTGAACTGAAGCTAAGCTCACCTGCTCTGATAATATGATTTCCCAGACTGAATATCCTTCTTGTCAAAGAGTATATATTCAGGAGCATTTTGAATTAAAAAATGGTTAGAATTATTATTTAGAATAATGAAAAGTGTTCTATAGATATTTTAGTGGAAAGAGTGCTTTTATACTTATCTTTATAGGCCCGAACTTTTTTGTCCAAATAGGTCATATTACACGGAACATTAAAAAAATTTAAAAAATTCATTAGCTTGTGAAGTAAAAGATAGATGAAAATAAAATATGCATTAAATGATTGTGGTTATTTTAATGAATGAAATCCACTTTCTTTTGGTCTTTGATAAATCTTCAATGGCGAGATAATCAAATCTCGTCATTTTTTTTTCCGCGTTCCGTTTCTTTAGCGAGTCACTGTATATATGTAATATTTCGATCCAATTTGAGCGAAAATACCACTATTTGATTTGTCTAGATTAGACAAATTGAATGGTAATATTTTCGCTTAAATCGGATCACTAAACGTTGAGAAATTATCGTTATGTCCTAAAGTGACCGATTTATTGTATTTAGAGTATAAAAGTTTATGAACATACAATACATGACATGTAGAAGCTATAAAAGGTATCAATGATCAGTGCTTGTGATGTTCTTTGTGCTCGGAGAATTTCAGAGCATTACACATGATTTTTGGAAAGTTATCAGGGGTAAGTTACTTATGACCGGCACTGTATTTCATTTGGAATTCCCCAATATATTGGGTGTTAAAGAATTATCTCATCTTGTATTATCATGATGTACATTAAAAGTTTTAGTAGTTGATAGCGACAAGCAATTCTAGTGCTCCCAAAAATTCTGATCCGGGGTATTTCAAACTTTCAGGATTGTCATCTCCCGCAGTCCTGATAAAGCACACACTACCGTGAAAGTTTGCATCTCCAATAGCCTTAACGTTAAAATTTTCGGATCGCCAATCGTCGATGGTGTGATTTGAGCCAGGAGGAAATCAAGCGCCCACTCAATCATGGTCGTCCACGATTGTCATGACTTGCGTGATGTTCTTCAGTTGGTTATACAATTGGAAAGTTAATTAAAGATGTAAAAGTCATTCAACATAAATTTCGCATATTTTTATCAAATATGCGAATTTAATTTTTAAAACAATTCAAATTAGAACAATAAAAATTAAATGGAAATATTTTGAATTTTTCTATATACTGTATATACCAATAATATTCATTAAAAATAATACTTACCAAACGATAATTTTGTAAATATTGTACATGTATGCAGCTTCCTTCTAAATCGACCTCCTCGTTTTTTTTTTTAAGCGTACTCTTATCGTCGAAATGCTTGGTTTACATGTGCTCGTTATTGTTGGTGCTTATATTTGTGTGTTTATTGTTTGCTTTGAGGAGAAAATTTCTCTGTTTACTAAAATTATTTTATATAATACAGTTAAAGTTCGATAAAGCGAACCCTCGATAAAGCGAATTCGCGTTAAAACGAAGAATTTTCAGGAACCAACCTATTAACAAAGAGCTTGATAAAACGAAGAATAATATAAATAGT